TCCCGGGCTTAGTGCAGACCATCTCCAGAGCAGAGTTGTATGCGGCCAAAGCAGCCCTCCTTTTTATCCACTCTAGACGTTCACATTTTCGCATTTGGATAGATAATTATCATGTATACCATGTCCTTCATGCAGCCGCTCATGCAAGCACAGAGGCTGAACTGAGTCAATCCAATCGCATCTTGAATCATGAGTTAGTTCATGAAGTCCAACTCTTGATGTTTCAGGTCAAGCATCTGTGCCGAGCGGTAGTGAAAGTGTGCAGTCATCAAGATCCCAGAGGGTTTGCAGACCCAGTTGAGCTGTGGGCTTGGGAGGGAAATAATGCAGCGGACAGATGTGCGGAACAGGCTTTCCTGGCCTACCCGCACACACATCAGCAATGGTTGAGACTGAAAGAAGAAACTCGTCACCTCGAGGAACTCAGAGACGTGCTGCATAAAGTGCTGATTGAAACAGGCCGTCTGGCCATGCAAGTAGTAGAAAAACACAAACCAGCTCCAGCTGACATCCTGGAGCATGGTTTTGCACCACCAATGCAGGTTGAGCAAACACCATGGACCCTTCCGTTAGATTTGCCCGAAGCCGCAAAATACCTGTGGATACCCGAATGGCCGCGTGTATGTCACTGGATACAAGATTTGCACACCGCAGGGCTGCCAGTCCGGAGATGGTGTTGGCAACAGCTGTTCATTGACATTTGTTTACATGTAGGTTCCGTAGGTCCGTGGTACAACAAAAATAGTCATGGATGGCAAGGCCACGACACTTGCCCCAAGCACTCCTTTACCAAAAGAGTCAGATCATTTTTGACTTGGCTGAACAAAATTGCAGCAGCATGCCAAGCTCCGCTACCATTGATGTTGCAAAGACCCGAAAGCCATGCCATTAATTTCTGGCAACCATGCCTGTTTGTTCGCATTTCGACCGTGCGATCTCAGGCAGTCGATGAGTGGATGATGCGATGAAAGGGGACCTTTCGTCGCTACAGAGACTACCATGCAATCGAGGAGGTACCATGATCAGATGGTGGCTTTGGATGCATTTCGCCGGTTGACCACCTCAAGTACGCGCTGCTGTCTGCAGAGGTCACCATGACCAACTGCCGTCCTGCGTGATCGCCCGAAAAAGTTGCGAAAAAGTTGTTCTTTTTTTTCCAAGCTTGTTGTTTTCTCGAGGCACATCATGGCATGCGGCATGGCAACCGGCCGCTGCACCTGTGTTTAGCAGCTCCTTCTTGTAGAAGCAGGTCCGACAAACACCATCAAAGAACCCCGTAATTACAAATCAGACAACGGGGGGCAGAGAACTTTCAACCCAAGAGCCTTTGCTAAGAAAACGCTTCCACCCTTGTTTCCTCCCTGTTCCACCTCTTGTTTCTCTCGGTTCCAAAAAGCGCGTCTGAGCTCCCGCCAAGGGGCTGGGAGCGTCGTGCCGAAGTGCTGCCAAGCAAATTTCAACTCGAGTTGACCCATCCTAATCCGCCAACCCCACCGCAGGCTCAGCCGAAACGTCGCGGGAGGGGCTCGGGGGAGGCTGTTGGCTGGCCTGGGCACTGGTTTTGGGGTCGGGGACTCCCAGGAGGAGTCCTACGAAGGTGTCCCTGCTCCAATTCATAAAAGTTCAGTTAGAAAAATATTGACGACCCAAGTGACCTGGGCCAAGACCCCAAGGCTTCAATGCTTTAGGACCACAGCTTGTTCGGAGCTTTCAATGATTCCAGACGGCCCGTTTTGCTTGCTTTTAGGTTGGGACATGGTGGGAAGGCAATCATCGAAACGCAAAGGGCACTTGATGAATACAATAAGCCTGCCCTTTTCACAGGCCTTGCAAGCGACAGCAAATCTGATCAAGTTTGTAACCCTCCGTACACCAAAAAGTCATCGAACTGCTCTACAATGTCCGCCCTGCTCTCTCAACCCCCTCGCTGTATCACCACCCTTCATGCCAAGGGTCGTATCTTTGGCCACCCAGAGTCTGCTGGGCGGCTCTTGACAGGCTGCCAAACCCCGACCACGGAACACCTCCAGCCACTTGGGTTCCGACTCCCGATCAAAGACTCGGAGGCCACTGGGGTTCTGACTTGGCCATGGGGGGAGGACTTACACAGAAAGCAGAAGGTGAGTCTGGGGCCTTTGTACACCAAAATGTGCACTCTCCCGTACAAGCTATAACAGATCAAAAGGTCCCAAGAAGTGGGTCAAACCTGAGGTGATTGGACGTTGTTGGCTGGATTGTTTCTGATCAGAATGCTAATTTGATTGATTATATACAGGGTTGGTGGTCAACTTCTGACAGCCTTCTCTTCTTGGCAGGCTTGGGAGGTTAAGCACCTCATCTACTTGCCTCCACCGTAGCAACTTAGCCGCAAATAATCACCAACCGAGGCCCGAGATGATTGGGACAAAGAATGGGAACTTTCCAGTACATTCCAAAATCGACTTGATGAGCAAAACAGCATGAGTACAGCCCCTAAGACTCCTGCATGCACCCTGAAGAATTGAATGGAGCAGACCTTCCCCACTTCTCAGCCTCATCTCAGCCCCGTACAGCCGTGGAAAACAATCTGAAAATGATCTGGATCATTATGGGCCAATGTTCTCCTACTCCCAGCTCCATTGAAGAGGGTCAATATAGGTCAGTCGTGAGATAGATCTGCAATCGTTGAAGTTCACCAAACCATCCATTCCTCACACTCGCCAGGTCACAGGATGCTCCAGCTTGAACCTGCTACGGCGCCGTTGTCCAATCGGCAGTGACGATCGGCGAGTTCTAGTGACACATGTTCGCTCATGTCCGACCTCCTAAGATGACCAGAGGGTGAATGAACAAGAGCTTGGGTTTCCGCCCTTTTAGAAGGGGACCCAACAACGGGACGACGAAAAGGGGACACCTGCTAGGACTGCATGGCAGTTGACGGCCGATAGGGGGACTCCCCTGAACGTTTCTGAAAGCTGCGATTGTCTCTGACAAGTAGAGCAGATGAGACCGGCAGGATCATGAAATACTCATCAGTGATTAGTGGGATTGAGTCGAGAAGAGCCGAGAAACTGACATGGCAGAGAGTGTCTTTAAAAATGTATAAAAGCTTTTGGTGTTCGAATCACTTCCCTATCATCAAACCCCCCCCGCAGAACCCAGTGGTCTAGTAAAAATCATGCTCGTTGGAGCCCATCGCCGCGACTCGCAACTCGATGGTTTCTGCATGCAGAACCCAGTACCATGTCTCGTCCCAACCGCTCCCTGCCACAACAGAACCTCCAAGTAACGTGGGCGTCTGGGCAAAGCAGAATTCCACCGAGATGGCGGCTAAGCGCAGAGCGTGCGGTGTGAGTAGGTAGAGGGCAGAGGTCGCACGACGTGCGGACCCTGGAACCACCTGAGTGACGAGTGATGCAATGATCGATCCAATTTCATGCATCAACTCTTGTGATGTGCTGTCCGTTTTGAGCGATGGTCCTCACTAACCACTGAAATTCATGCAAGCCTAACTTAGGTAATGCGAGGTATATCTAAATGCTCAGCAACCAAGAAAAATAGCCGGACGATGGCTCTCACCCCCCCATTGATATAGGACTCCAATTCGCTTTTCGGCCCAGGGGGAGGAACCACATCGGTCCACCTGGTGGAACGCTACTCTCCATCCCATCCAGCCACAACCAGCCGTCACCGGCCGAAACCAGACATGCTCATTCGACTAGTTCGACTGCTTCATGTTGATCTCAGCAAGGACATGTTGGACGAGCAAACAGAAATGAAAACCGAAATGCCACTAGTATTTTCCTTGCTATTTGTCTGGTCCTCGCTGGTCTGGAACACAGGCATCATCCAGTCATTTACTGGTTACAGGAAAAGTTCCCCAAAAAATAGATCCAGCAGTCAGCAGTTCCAAAGGGGCTGCGATCCATGGAGGTTAGGGGTGCCCATTATCGGGACTAAACACCAATGAGTTGAGACACAAAAAAACTATCAGAATCTTCCTGGTTGTCACAGTATCTCTATGTCTGAAGCAGTCTGATCCAACCATTTGGGGCGCTCCGCCTGATGGTCATCCCTCAAGCTGCCAAGAGGCATTGCGATGCAAGGCCAAGCCCAAGTGCCAGCCGCCTTGGAATCCCAAATCAGCAACCACTCGAAGAACCAAAGTCTTTTGATGACTCACTTGGATCACTGATCCACAAGAAAGACCAGGCACTGGCGACAGGTCCTGAACAGCTTGTTTTTTTGACCAATCCTGAACCATACTTACAAAAAGCCTCGAAGCTCAAAAACATCTAAAGAACGCAAAGAATTGTACCGTATTGATCCTTTGTAGCCTATATGACTCGTTGACGTTGCTTACTCGGAGACTGTTTCTTTTCGGAATCCAAACGAAGCTATCGTTTATGCCATACAAACGGGAGCTCTCAAAACAGTGTAGATCAAGTCCTTGCACCACGAAGAATCACCCGTTGAAGCCGCAAAATGATCTGAAACTACAAATCCGACTCCAAAAATATACTACAAAGGACAAACCAAATCCAAAGAAAGTTGGGGGGCTTTCTCTGGTGCTTGATGGCAACAGGGTGACTTCTGTGCTACCAAGTTGCTGTTCATTTGCGTCTCCATGGACTTGAACATGCCTTCCAGCTGCGGCATGACCTCCCCAATCTCCGCGAGGGACACCGCCGCACAGCAGAAGGACCTCGTGTCGTTCGGAGATGAGTGGACCATGCGGCGTTGGTCACCGGGATGTTGAAAGCGAAATAATGCGGTGGGGAAACTGTATGGATCAACTGTATACTGTATTACTGTGAAGGCCTTCACTTACCCAGCGCTTTTGCAAGAATGGCAATGGCCTTGAAAACAGCATATCTTCGAGCTGGATAGTATATATATATAGAGAGAGAGAGCGCAACGAAGATGCTGTCCGTTCAAAGTTGTACAAGCTCAGATCATCTGTTGAAGCCAAAGAATGGAGACTGCCATTTGTTTACCCATCCGCACACAGGGGCACTGAGCTTTCAGAGAGGGTCTTCTCCACCTTCTTTCAGGGCAAGCTCTGGACAAACAATCACCAAAGACATCGGAGATTCAATTTTCAGTTCCAGCGGCAATTCCTCCACAACTCGGCCTCATTTGGAAACTGCTTGCTTCATCTTGCTTCTACAATTCTACACAGCACCCTCCAACCGGTCACCAACTGATAAATTGTTGAATCCAACCTTCTACAAGAGAAGCTCTGTTGTGCAGCCCCAAAGTCTATCCAATCCTCTAATGCTCGGTCCTCTGATGTCTTTCACTACTTGTGAACTTGGAACCTAGGTATTCTCTTCAGTGGCTTCTCAGCTTCCCTCTCTGCCCAGGAGCGGAATTAGGTCGCCTCCGTAACCGGCCAGGTCTGGTGCGAAGCTGGTGACTGCCTGAACCAACGGGTGGAACGCCCTTTTTTGTACCGTCTCTATCGATCAGAATACAAAAGAAGAAAGGATTGGGCTGGGAAGCTGACACATTGAAGGAAGGGCGCGGAAGGACGCTAATCAAGTGTAGATTTGCTGCACTAAATTGGAAAGTGTGCGGATACTGTGCTACGAGTAGGTGGATGAGGGGCCTTTCTTGGGGGACCTGTGAAAGGCTTCTTTTCAGTTCTGATTAGGAGTCCAAATACGTCAACTGTTTAACCCGCAAACTTGTTGTAGAGGTCTGAGTCCCAACACACTCTTTTCAGTTCCGACGTTCCGATTGCAATGACCGCCCAGTCATGGCAAAATGCTTTCCAAACCTAGGTGTTTGTGCCAAAAACAAATGCCGGAGTTGGGTGACATATGGTGACAACATCTTCATGCAACTCATATTCTCGGAAATGATGTTTGTTCTGCCCATATCGGATCCTATGTTCAATGGTCCAAAGCTCTCTTCTCAGCAACGAGCTTCGCACAAGCTGGACTGAGGCCCAGCAAGCTCAAGAAGCTGAAGCTGAGAGCTTCTCCAGCAAAAAGCCAAAAACATTGCAGCAAATCTGGGGCTTCTGCAGGTCTGATCTCATCTGAAGATCAATAAGTAGACGGACAAAGGAAAGAACATGAAAGAACCATGCTCTCTGCGCGGGTTTCCTCCCACCCTGCCCTTGCACCACCGAAAAACAAAATTATACCGGCATAGACCCCAGATAGCACTTCAAGAAAGTTGGACACCATGGCAAGAGCGGGAGACAAGCTTGGGAGACATCCCACTCAAAGCCGGGAAAAGGATGAGAAAGGTAAACAAGACCTAAATCATCTTATAACAGCGTCCGCGTCAAAGGCAGGCAAGAAAATAACAAGGCGGCAGCGGCAGCCAAGAAAGAAATCAGGAACGGAGACAAGCTTGGGAAACACGACGGCAGCGGCAGCCAAGAGCGAAATCATGAAGGGAGACAAGCTTGGGAGACAAGCCGGCAGCGGCAGCCAAGAGCGAAGTTATGAAGGGAGACAAGCCGGAGGGAGACAAGCTTGGGAGACAAGCCGGCAGCGGCAGCCAAGAGCGAAATCATGAAGGGAGACAAGCTTGGGAGACAAGCCGGCAGCGGCAGCCAAGAGCGAAATCATGAAGGGAGACAGACAAGCTTGAGAAACAAGGCGGCAGCGGCAGCCAATTTGCGCAATCCGGAACCCATCCATTGAGAAGTAAGAACCCCTATAGCTTCCAGCTATCTGGGGAAAAAAGAACATGCTCCAAAGTTTCCCAGGAGTGATTCCCAACGCCTCGAACGCAGATCCTGCTTGGTGTAGAGGCCACAAAGACCGGTGCTGTTCAGTGGCGGCTTCGGCGAAGCCATCGCCGGCCGCGCAAGCGCCGAAGCTCGCTGCGTCGTCCTGTTAAAGGTGCAAAATCGGAGGCAGCGGTGCGTGAAACAGCTCAGAGGGCATGCAAGTAATCAGTATTCTGGATGCCAAGGTCCTTTAAGAGTTGGGAGATCAGCAGTAAGAAGCTAGGACGCCTAGGAGCATGCTCTGCGCCAATCTTTTAAGAGGATGAATTCGGAGCATCGCAGAAGGAACTCCAGCTCCACATGATGGATTGATGATGGTTGATCAATCAGCAGTGACTGGATGATCAATCCAGCTCAACATGGAAATCATGGTTGATCACAGGTCGCTTTACAACAAAATACTGATGGATTAAACAACCTGGATCGCCCGGTGTTGTTGCTTTTTTGCTGAAATCCAAGGTCAAGCCAATCTTCGCACCCCAATCGTCGCCGTGATCTCGCAAGCATCTGTCTTTCCTTCGGTTTTCTTGCACATGAAAAGAATTCATTCAGAAGATATAATATAACCCTAAGACTAACCCTAAGCCATCCTAAGCCAATATCCAGAATTCTGGCGCAAACATGGCGTGAATTCACCACCAAAAGCCACCAAATCTAGGTTATATTTGTGCCTCCAAAAGCCGCGTGGTTCCATTCGTTGGATGTGTTCAGCTGGGTGTGTCGCGCGGGTTCCCCCGCGGGGGAAGCGCCGAAACCGAATCGAGTGACTGTTAGATTGAAGCGTCCACGTGGTGGTACCACGACTGGAAAGAGGCTCCAGATGTATCGATCCGGCTGCTGCAAATACCTGGGTGTGGCTCCAAAAGGAAAGAACATGCGGCTTGTGTTGCAAGTTCCGGTTGGGGCGACAGCTATGTGCATCTACTACAGGCTGATCCATCTGGGTTGATGTTTCAGTCAGTTGGGGTTCCTCCACCATCGAAGGCCTTCCAGTTCATGGTTCTTTGTCCATGTCGCTTTACTGAACTCAGCAAGTCTTCGCAGGGTCATGTCTAGCCACGGATCAAATATAAAACAAACACAGCGGAGCATATTCATATGACTATGAATAAGGTGGTGATCTATGTTAGGATGCTCATGGTGCATCCCAAATCGCAGCAGCCTGGTGGGTGACAAAGAAAGCTCAGTGAGCTGCCTGAGTTCTCCTAATTTTGGTATCAAAAATCCCCTGCGAAGTACCACCGCCAAGATCTTCGCACCACGCGTGTGCTCCTCTGGTCTGCAACATGGGTTGCAAATGATTTGATCTAGCCGCTAGACATGGCAGTGACATGGTCTGTGCTAAACAAACCAGTCATTTGAGCTGGACAACCCAAATGTTTGTGACCCACCGTCCAATCATGTCACACTCTTTCCCAGCAATGAAAACTCACACTTCCTACACACCCTTCCAGCCCAGAAATGCTCACTCGCTCCCTCATCCATGTCATTCCCCTTTCCCCTCACCCATCTTCCATACCAAGCATCGCCGCCCAGCCATCCTCGCCATCCTCGCCATCCTCGCCATCCTCCAGTGGCCAAACAGCAAAAAGCTCCGCCCAGGAACGCGCCCAGTCCCGCCGCCCGAAGACCCGTTCCGCTGTCGCGTTGGCCCGAAGCAGCTCCACCACCTGCGCCGTTGTTCCGCGCGTTCCGGGCGCGCTGCATGGAACACATCGGGAGCAGCCACTGCGATGTGAAAACAGAGACTGTTTTGATCTCTTGGCCCTGCTAACCGGAAGGAGATGGCATGGCACACTCGAGTAAGCCAAAATTGAAACAAGCACGGCATGGCACACTCTGTCAACCACCTTTTCGCCTTTCTCCAACACTGGCCCTGACACACGGTTATGTCACTGTCAATCTGTGAAAAATGTACAAACAAATCCTGTATGCATTCTTCATTCTTCTACTCTACCCACGCGCCGCGCATCCACATCACCCCTTCTTCCGGCCTTTCTCCGAACTTCTGGCTCCGTCGCCAAGCGCACGGCCTTCGCCACATACTCCTGGGCGTCTTGCGCCCCAATGGCCGCATGGAGGTCGCTGGCAGCGCTGAGGAGTCCGTGGGAGAAGCCGCCAGCGAGGGAAGAAGGGAAGTGGTAGACCAAAGGAGCGCCGACGCCTGCAAATACTAAGATTTCCTCCAACCTGGTAGCGATGGCCTCCAACCTACTA